TCCTGCCATAGTGTTCCTTTCTATAGTGTTCATTTTCTTTTATGTTCCACTATAATATTTTTCCTTTATACATTGCTTTTCCTGTCTAGTTCTCATCTTGTTCCTGGACCATCACAACTTAACTGTTGTGCAAGCTATTTGGAGAATTTTTTCCCTTCCTATTTTGAGTTAAGACGCTTCATCTGAACTTTAAACAAATATATTTGAGAGGATAATTTGACTGTTCATTAAAAAGTATAAATATAGATTTAATGGACAGGTAAGTAGGATTTGACTTACTGATGAAGTTAGTTCACTCCATTCTCCCCACCAACACCCTCTTCTTTTGCTCCTAATTGCTGGGTCCTTTAGTCACATGTGAATAAGTATCACATGCTGTCTGCTTCTAATTCTGATACTTTAGTTCAAAATTTAAATCAGAATAGTGCAAGTGACTGGTTCACATTAATTTTGGCGTACAAAATGGAACTGTTTTTCTGTACTGTTGTCTCTGGTAGGATACTTAGATATCATTTATTTATTTATGGTATTTTTCCCCCTGTCCAATACCCAGTGGGTCTCTGGATGGCTTACAGTTCAAATCTAATAAATACATATATACCCAAGTAATACAAATAATCCATGAACTGAGCATAAAAACATAGTTAAAATTAAACATTAAAAATACGGAAGGATAAAAAGGTCTTGACCTGGCACCGAAAAGCATATAATGTTGGTGCCAGGTGGACCTCTCTGGGAAACTCATTCCATAGCCGGGGCGCCATCACAGAGAAGGCCCCACTCTGAGTATGTTCTCTCCTAACCTCCTTCAAGGAGGATTCCCGGAGCAGGGCCTCTGCTGCAGGTCTTAAGGGGCGGGTGGGCATGTAGGGAAGAAGACATTCCTTTAGGTTTCCTGGACCCAAGCTGTTTAGGGCTTTATAGGTCAATACCAGCACCTTAAATTGAGTCCAGGCTCCAATTGGAAGCCAGTGAAGCTGATAAAGGACCTGTGTTATATGAGAATAGTGACCGGCCCCTGACAGCATTCTGGTGGCTCTGTTCTGAACCAATTGAAGTATCTGGAACATCTTTAAGGGCAGCCCCATGTAGAGTGTGTTACAGTAATCCAACTGGGAAGTTATTAGAGAGTGTGTCACCATTGCTAGGCAGTGCTCGTCCAGGTAAGGATGCAGCTGATGGATCAGCCAAAGCTGAAGGAAAGCACTCCTTGCCGCTGCCACCACCACCTGGATCTCCAGGGAGAGCTCCAGGTTGAGGAGCACTCCCAAGCTGTGGACCCTGTCCTTTAGAGGGAGTGCAACCCCATCCAGGACAGGGCCAAAATCACTTACCTGAAAACCTGAACCACCTACTAAAAGGAGCTCCAGCTTATCTGGATTGAGTTTCACTTTATTGGCCCTCATCCAGCCCATTACCTCAGCCAGGCACTGGTTCAGGACAGCCACTGCCTCACCTGGATTAGATGTAAATGAGATGTAGAGCTGGGTGTCATCAGTGTACTGATGAGTCTGCAGCCCAAACCTTCTGATGACCTCTTCCAGCGGTTTCATGTAGATGTTAAATAGCAGGGGGGACAAAATTTGTTAGTGCTCCCTCAACAATGTAAGAATTATCCAGACCTTGGTGATAAGAAATGTAATTTTCTTGTGAGCTAATCATGGTAGGTGCCTGCTGTATGCCAGTAAAAGCATGCTCTGTTCAGCTTTTTTTAGTGCTGAGCAAAAGCAATGTTACTTTGTATAAATTATTTAGCCAGTTATTCTGTCTTAGCAACAAATTGTTTTTCAGGTGACTTGTACATTCCTGGATGTGGCAGACAAAACAGCATAATGGCATATGTGGGGAGTCTTCCCATGACTTAATAGCAACAGGCAGAATTTATATTTTGGAAGAAGTGTTTTTTCCCAATCCTTACTAGTGATTCAGAGCTCTTAGCCCCAGTAGCATGTCAGTCAGTGTTCTTTTCTTTTTCAGTGTTCAGTGTTCTTAAATATGTTTCTCCTCATTAGGATCTGACATTAAATATGTTTCATTGTCTGTGTTTGAGTTTAGTATGGTGGTTCTGAAGGTCTAGAGGTGGTTCTAATATATAAATGTTACATTCCTATTATACTTATCTGACTTGGGAAAAGAAATGGACAGGAAATGTTTTACAGTTGTGGTCTAGCAGGATAGTGTTAGGAATGCTTTCCATATTGTGTGCACTGGTGTGGGGAACTGATTTCATCCCAAGGGCTGCATATACTTTAGAAGAAGCTCTTGGGCATTATTCCAGTGGTGTGTGGGGCAAAATACAGAAAGCTCCACACCATTGTAGCTTTAAGTTCTTAGTGCCAATAACTAAGCCTTATGAAATTCATTTAAAACTAAAAATCTGTAAGGCAGGAAACCAGCTGCTGTGGTTGCAGGGGAAGGTGAAGGTAGCATAGCTCTCTGGGGAACCCCTGTGGGCTGGACTTGGGGCCACAGAAAAACTGGATTTGGTGACTTGTTGTCAGTGTAGTTTTCATTTTCCTTAAAATGATGCATGGTTGATGAAAATCAAAAGACTTAGAGAGTTGGAGGGTGATGTTAACAATTTTAACCTCCTAGAGATTCCTAGGTGACATTTTGTTTAACCACACTAAAAAGGACATGCTGTATTGTTATTCTAATAAAAGTTTCCCTGTATTTGCTATTGAGAAAGATTTAAACTGTCTCCCACCTCAAAAAGCACTTTTTCTGGCAACTCCTTAAATAATTTTGCATGTCTTATCTGTCAACCCACATTTCTCTTGTAATCTCATTTAGCCATAATGGTCTGTGGAAGCAGCAGGCACTATAGTACCTTATCTATATCATGTTGTTTACTTCAACATTAGAAATATCCATATTCATCAGGAATGAAACTGACTTGGAACATAATGAATTCAAGTACTGGCATATTTGACGGCACAGCAAATGTTTATGTCTACTTGTGAATGCCTGCTTTTGTTAATCTGTACTAATTTTGCTCATTCAATAGTATTTAAATTGCCTTGAGTGCCATTTTATTGGTAGGGTACAAATCACATTCAATTTGTGTTAATATTACTTGTCATAAATGAAGTTCATTAATACCAAATAGGACTCTTGATTCTTCTATAAATAACGATAGCTTCATTTTCTTGATATGCTTAAGAAATCTATTGTACCTGGAACAAGGGCCTATGCTGCTATTTAAAATATAATTTAAATAGCTTACCTCAGTTACCACTGATAGTTGCCTAATCCTACTCTTACGATTGTATGCAGTAAATGTTGAGTTGTAACATTATGATAGGTCACATTACCACTCTTTGAAATTTCCATTAAATCCTGTGTTTTGCAGGTGTGTGAAAGCTATTACAGTATTTTTTTAAAAAGCTGTTTTAAAACGTTTAACTTGATTATTGCATACTTTTCCTTTGTACAGTAATTTTAATATTTTTGGATGCCCTCTTACAGTGGTTGGATACATCTTTTCTGTCTTAAAATAATTCAGATTTCTAGAATGTTTTGGTTTTCTTGGTAAATTTTATATACTGCCTTCATAGCCTTCAGATTCCAAAGAAATATTTTATATGTTATCTTATGTATTCCATAACTTTCTCAGTCTGTAGTGTAATTTTTACTGCTAAATTTTTCCAGGTTGTCCATTATCATGATGTTTAAATTCTGAGTGATAATGACTTAATAGCTGTTGTGTTTTACTTAGTAGCATAATGCAGTGTAGTTGCACAGTGAATGATCTCAGTTGGAAGGTAGTATGTTTCCAAGCCCATATGGCAACTTTTGTAAATAATGATGTTTTTACAAAGTCAAAAGTATCCTGCTTCCTACATATATGTGTGAATTATTGAAAACTGGAAGGAAAAGGTTTGGCTTTTATATTGAAAATCATCTACAATTCTATTAAATAATTTAAAGCTCACCCTGCAAAACTGCTTGTTTTCTTGCCTGATTCTTAGTGGCTGAGGTAAATTTTATTTGTCACAGGCTCCTAACAGATTAATATTTGCTCACCTGCCCTGTGGCAGAGATCTGCTGTTTTGCTTGCAGTTAGGAATTTTTTGTTCCTAACTGGAAGCACTTTTTAAGATTAATATAGGTTTTATATTATCTGTATTCTGAGTTCTCAGATTTTAAGACCATCACAAATAAGTGCTTCCATTATACATTTTAGTGCATCAGACAGTATTTTCTAATACTGCACATTTTGTATATTATGTGCTGTAACTAAAGTCTAGTAGCATAATAATATACAGCACTGTAAGCAGTGCTAAATATTTCCATGTTCTCCTAGGGTTTGTTCATATAGTTGGCTTTGGCCTCTGTGATTGGGCCTGCTTCTATGAAGAACCAGAATAGTGAAGAGTATTTTCAAATACTTTTCATAGTATTTGAAAAAACCATCAAATATATTGTTAGAAATTATTGCTGCATATTTAGTCATAGTAGTTATGTGTACTTCTGCTTCACAAAATAGCTTTTGCAAAGTAATGCTGTGTATGTAGTAAGCAAGAACATTCCCTGGGTGCATGTGTACAAGATGTCAGGAGTATACAAGCGTGAGATAATTACACAGAGGCTACAGTCAAATGTGTGGACTAATTCAAAAGATATATTCAGACATTTCTCAACCATGTAGATACTGCCAGATGTGAGATTAAGAAAGATTATAAAGCTCGTGTATTTCTCCCTTGCTCCTCTGACCTTGCGGAAGGTGAGAATACATGCAGACATGAGAACTTCTCCCATTCTTTCACCTGGTAGAATTCTGTGGAGTCTGCATTTCTGAGCAGGGCCCAAGTGTTAAGATTCACACTTTAATATTATTTTAAAGTTTTTTATTTTTGCAGAGTTTAAATCTTTGTTTTATGCAAGTCAGTAAGATAGTTTTTTTTACATGACTGGCAAATTCTTGCAATTTCTGGATAAGATGGGAATGTTAAAGTGATAAGTGATAGGTTGACGATGAAAATTATGTTTACTTTCAGAGAGAACAGGAAATGAGAATGGGTGATATGGGTCCTCGTGGAGCATTAAACATGGGAGGTAGGGATCTGAAGCAAAAGGGTCTTGTTTTTGAAAACTTCTTTGAGACTGTACGTGTTACTCATGAATATTACATATACATTGACAAGTGTTCTTGAAATAAGACTTAATCTGGAAAATATTCATCAATAAATGTTTTCTCAATTTAATTACAAATTGGGAAACATACATGAACATGATGACTAGAGACTGTGAGGCTTGAATTCTTCAGGTGTATGATACCTTTGAGACTTTACTGATGAAAAGCAAAATATAACTTGTATCTGTTTTAAGAAGAGAGTGTTTTATGTTAATAGATTATAGGAATTCATTGATGCAAGCTTTTGAATAAGTTGCTATTTATTGGCATGTGAGGCCTGATTTTATAAAATAATTGAAAGCATAGTATTAAGCATTTTGAGTTCTTTAAACAGACAGTTTTCTGTCTTTCAAAGCTGCCTACTTTTACTGGACTTTGCTTGACATTTTTACATTATATGTACCATGTAAAGTTAGGCTTATGTGTTCAAAACCACAAGAGTGATTAGTTATGGGCAAAAGCAAATGAGTAGATCCCCAATAGCTAACCATGGTTTAGCAATTAAAACTGAGCCTCATATCTAGATTTTCCCAACCTTCCTTAAAGTTTAAATATGGTTGCCTGTCAGCACTCCATCCATTCTGGATAAACCCATCTTTAGATTATGCTCCCTCAGATGACTGTATTTGTATGTCCAATTTACTTCGTTACAGCCAGAAAGTTCCAATCATTCAAATATGAAGCTAATCTTAAAATATTAAGATATTTTCATTCTGGTTTCAGGCCCAGATATACGATTGAAATGGCCTTGGTTGTTGTTATGGGCATCTTGTGCTAAAAGATAAGAGACTGAAACCACTCATTCTCTGGATGTTTTAAAGACCTAAACAATCAGGGTTCTGATTATCTTGTCAAACATTTCCTCCAGTACGGACTGCTGTGGCTTTTGCAATCTAAAAATGAGGCTTTGTTTCAGATTCCATTCTGTGTGAGTTTTTTTCCTTCCCAGTCCCAACATGGTGAAATGTCCTCCTGTGAGGAGCATATACAGGGGTCCCCTTGTTACTGACTTCAGTGGCAGGCCAGTACTCATACTCTTCTGTATCAAAGGGCCTTTGTCATTTTGATTAATGAATTCAGTTGCTGTTTGCTTTTTTATCAAGTAATCATCTACCAGTTGTACAAATTGGATCCAAGTTTAGGCATTTATATAGTAGACCCACTGAATCAGTAGAACTAAGGTAGTCATTTCAGTGGGTTAGTTCTACTTCATAGCAGTTTTGTATAAAGTTTTGGAAAACTACTTTTGAACAGTGTTGTAGTTTAAAAGGAATACCATGGTCAAGAGCACTAAGCATCTGTTGGAGGACAAGCTTAAGTATAAATTTTAAATTAAATTTTATCTGTAGTAATGATAAAACATAACACCAGACTATGCATAGTGGGTGAAGGAGCACATAGTCCTGTTAAACCATGGTTAGTACTTGGGTTGTTGCAAAAAATGCATAAATTGACCATTCATAGGGAGAATATACTGGTCCCTTCACATATATATTGCATTTGGTGTAAAAACTTGAGCTACCCAGATACCCCTGTTTTATAGTGTTTTTAGGTCAAATGTTTGAATAAACATGGTTACTATCATTGTGTCTAGCTTCACCCTAAGAGCAAGTACTTTAATTTTCTTAAAATTAAAATTAAAGCCTACAGATCATTGCAATAGTTTAAGATGTGTGTGTTTTTAATTATATTTTTCATGCAGTCTCATCTTTGCTTCTGCATTTGTGAAATAATATGGTTCAGATATACCTCATATACCTAGTTACTACTACAAATCAGTGTACAAGTATCTCTGGATGTTTCAGTTTATTTCCAACTGGGCATTTTAGGTGATATTTTTAATGAAATACTCTTAAATCAGTCTGTTTTATTTAGTAAGCCGTTCCAAACGTTTTTGCTCTTTTAAGAGCCAAGTGGCTTGTATTGTTCAAATGCTAATGTTGGATAACAAATTGGATCTCATGTGGCAAATTAAGCTATCAATCCAGAGATGAATTTATGCTTGCAGTGGGTCTTTTCCTGCCTCTTCTGCTTGGAAATATGCCCTGTATCCAATTATTAATTCCTCACTGCAAGTGAACATACAAAACATTTTAACTGGCCACTTGCAATGTGATACAAGTGGGGAAAGTGATGTTATGAAAAGCTCCATGACACACAAATGCCAGAAGCAGGGATTTTTGGATTGGGGCCAGCTTGAAAGTTACTGCAGATATGCATGCAAGTGTTCCATAGTAATTTTTTTATGAAAAAGAAGTAGAACTGAGCATTGCTGACTTAATTGAGGTATAATTTTTAGGAGATTATACTTACAATGCTTACAATGTTTGCTTACAGTGAGAGAATGGAAGTAAATGTTCAGTCTCAAAGAATACAAGCAATTTGTTTCAAATAATGGATGTTCTGTATAGTTTTAATTGTACATTTTAATTCTTTAAAATTCAGTTAGGACAGCTCTAAGTGTAGACTGTTTTGCATAGATGCCTTTAGCCCAGCACCTGCTGGAAACCAAGGTCCTCCTCCTCCACCTCCAATGATGGGTATGAATATGAACAACAGAGGAACAATGCCTGGCCCTGCAATGGGTCCTGGTCCTTCCTTGGGGCCAGAAGGAGCTGCAAACATTGGAACCCCAATGATGCCAGATAATGGAGCTGTGGTAATGTATCATAACATTTAATTTTTTTCTCTGCTTTATTGTGGCACATCTCTTTGCTATAAAGATAACTTCACACTAAGTGATTTATAAGACTTTGAATGAATACCCTTTTGAAACTGAAATAATTTTATGCTTACTGATACTTTTGCTGAATTAATAACTTTTCAGTCATATTTCTTTTTTAATTCTTGAATTTAGAGTAGCCACAAATGCACAGTGCATTTATATGTACCAAAGGTACTACTTCTCAAAAGTAAAACAAAAATTAGTCATAAATGACTAATGATTAAAGAATTGTACAACTATTTTTAAAATTTATTTTGCAGTATTGGGGCAGGTAAACTTAGATAATGTGCATATATGATTGTGTAATGTAGTACCATGACATATAGTGTGAAGATATCTTTGAATAAATATTTTAAACAGATGTAATTCATTGATATTTTAGTAGTATACAGGTGTGGTCATAAGTGTAAGCACCTGTGTGACTGAGTCCTTTTGACAGCTGTTTATGAATGTGAGATCTAATTCAGTTTTTAAGGACATAAACAAGGTATAACTACCAGTTGAAACATGGAACATGTAAAATAGGCATTTAAAGGCAGAGTTCTGTGTACGTTTGGACTGAAAAATGGCCTATGACTGGAAGTTGAAGGCCCTTTCTCTGTCCATACTTGCACAAGTTTGTGCCCTAACCTGTATTTCTTGGCCATATCAAACAGCATTCCTTCCCAGGATTGACTTCCATAGAAAATGTGCCCTGGGAGGAATAATATGTACAGACAGACACTCATTTGTTGTTCTGCTATATGCATTCCCATTGCTCAGGAGGCTACCTCATACATTTTGTAGACCGCGACAATCACTTGAGTTTCCCATGTAATCTATGGGGTAATAGAGTTTTCAAGATATCTGATATAAGAGATAGTTTACCATAGACTGGCCAGAATACTAAAATAGTTAAATGGGACTTTCTAAGTCTTTTCATAATAGATCAAAGAGAAATTTGTCTGTATTATGCTAGCAGCTAATGAAGGGAGGACCACATCTTATATGTAAGAAGATTTAGACGTGTCAGTCAAGTAGAAGATTTTCAAACATAATAGGGGGGCATTTCACAAATTGCTAGATTCGTACCTATTTTCACAAGAGCCAAGTTTCTTTCTAAAACATTCATGTCTTCTACCGTACCAGAAATGGCTCAGTTGTAGCTTTTATGACCAGTATGAGGTAGGTGGAATGTTTTTGATATCACTGTCATCCAGGTAGCCTCTTTTCTTAACAGAAGCAGTCAGTTTATCTCATGCTTACTGAAATGCAAATAATTGTTTATGATAAGGAACAGAAGACTCTGCTAGAGAAGAACTCTTAACAATATGGGCAATACTCAATGTCATGCAAGTAGACTTCTGCTAGCGTAGCAGAATTTTTCCTTCCTTTCCTTACCCTGCCCCATCCGTACCCCTGGTGCTACTCATATCTGCTTCAGGGAGTCCCCAGTTCTTCTGGAGTAGATTTAGAGAATGGACAGAAGGAAGAATTTGTTATGTTAAGGGTGTCTCTTTTACTGGCAGGCAGACACCATTGGATACCACCCTATGTGTTTCTGCTTGGGTGTTACTCTCTGGTTGGTTATTGAAAACACAAAGCCATAGTTAATGTTCCGAAAAGAGATTCAGCATAAAATGTTCACTTTGTGGGTCAGGGCTTTCTCATGCCACTTTTCTTCTGTAACTCGCACTACCCCCTGAAAATCTACTCCTGCGGACTGAGAGACTCTTTCAAACATAATATGCCCCTTTGAACAGGCAGAAGTACCTTCTGCCCACATAAATACTGAAATCTGAAAGAACTTAAGATGCTTATTTGCTCATGGTCTTGATTTTTGGGGTAACTTTTTACTTTACCGGCACAGGTTTTTTTGTGTGTTTTTTGGACAAGGTATACAGATTGTGAGGGGAGGAAACAGCAGCAGGGAAGTCAATAGGAAAGTAAAACTGCATAATGTACATATTTATGTCTGTAACCTCAGAATATAATAGGATAATTGTTTATTACAGCTTTGAGATTGTAAACTCTTTTCTGATCATACCTTAAGTCAGCTGGTAACTATTTTATATCTGGTCATAGGTAAAAATGAATTATTGTCAAATATAAATTACAACAATAGTGGATCTTATTTTAGACATCTTTCAGCAGGCAGATTGCATGCTTTAAAACAAGATCCCTGAGGGATTGGGTGCAAAATATTGTGGTCAGATGTGCAGTTGGGTAGTGGCATGTGGCTATTAGTTTCTTTTTCAAGAATCTAAAATCTGAATTTGGGTTCCTCTTGGAACTACATCTCAAGCTTATCCGTTTGCGATATGATGCAGCTACTTTTACTTACTTTATTTTGTAAAATATTGATATAGTTTCCAAAGCATAATGAATTTAGGTTTAATTAATTTTATTAGAAGATACTGTTTTGCCTTATACTTAGTTTTGTAAAGGAGAATCAGAATGCAAGGTATTTTAAATCCTTTTTTTCTCACTCTTCTAGGGAAGTTCAGAATGGCTTAGGAAGTGTTACTCATACTTGTCTGAATCTTACAATAACTTCCCTTTAACTCAATGCATTAGTGGTCACAATATTAGTTAGCTTTTCAGCTTACTTCAGAAATGACTAAAATTAATTGCTCCTTTCTTCCTTCTATGTATCATCCTGATTCTGCTGGAATGTCTGCTGAACTTCATGAAAACACCGCTTGGTTTCCCCCCTGTTTTATTGTAATTCAAATGGTACTTTTTCCAAATGGACTTAATATAGCATTCTGAGAGATTCCCTCAAGGAGGCCCACCGCAAATGGGTTCACCTATGGTTAGTAGGACAGGCTCTGAAACTCCTCAACCGGCTATGGGTGGTGTAGGTGCCGTCAGTAGCGGACCCGGTGGCTTTGGTAGAGGAAATCCAGGGGGAAGCTTTGAAGGACCTAACAAGCGTCGCAGATACTGAAACTTTTCATACTGTTGAGAAAATTGAATTACTATCTGGTGTTATGCCTTTCTAATTTTAACTGTTACCTTAAGACGGTTTTGTTGTTAATGTAGTCATTAAACTTTTTTGTTTTGTTTTGGGGGGTAACCCTTAGATATTTTTTTAATTCAGTCATAGGCTTTAGCATAGAGCAGAAATACTGTGCTTCATTTTGTACGTCAGATGTTTGTGACCTCAGCAGACTATGTGACCATGCTGTGAAATCTGTGAGTTACATGCTTACAATAAAATAGAAAACAAATAACTTTAAATGATTTTGAAACTTCATTATGAATACTGTCCTTAACTTTAATTGTAAGCATACATTTTAGTTTTTCAGTTTAATGCCTTTTTTTGAAAAGAAAATGCTTTATCCAATGTAACTGTATACAAATTAAAAAGGAGCTTGCAATATACACTAGAACAACTGTTGAGACTATAGCAGCTTTAGAACAACTGAGACTTTAAATAAGCCATTATAGATCTGTTAATAAAATAAATGTTTCCAACATGTAAAAAACTATTTTGAACTGGGATTGTCATCACAATGTACCCTTTGTTCAACTTCCAAATAAACTTTTTGAGTCTTGAAAAACCTCCCAAGTATTAAATATTCACCTGCAGTTTTATAGTCCTAGATTGTGATTGGTAATCTGTTTTAAAGTAATGGAAATGCAGGTCATGCACATTTATAAAAATTAACTTGTGTTTGTTTTAAAAATAGCTTGTACTAGAATGAAAGAAGTTATACTAGACTGTGTAGACTTGGTGTTGCCTTCATAGAATGTAAGTTCAGCTGTATTCTCACAACTTCAGCATTCTTGAAAAGTTTATTTTTTCAATTCTATTATGACTGTAGAAATATCGATCCTATAACATGAAAAAATATTCATATTTAAGTAACTGGTTAGTGATCATAATGTTTAGCTCTTACATCAGGCAAAGTGTTTACAGTTGTGCTTCATTTAAATACATACAGTATTTTCAGTGAGAAAATAGCACAAACTTTCTCTAGCTTTTCACAGGGATGGAGTATAGCCAATGAAATGTATAACCACTTATCTAAAAAGCATAATTTGGCCATGTTATGTATGGAGGGATGAAAAGATACTGGCACATTTTGTGGTGATACCATGTGAGGTTTATTGTTAGATTAATAGTTGCCAATGAAATGCTATCATATTGGCAAAATAGAGTGTATCTAGAGTTATATGTAAAGAATTGCTGTTAATAAGCACTGCACATTGCGTGAGCAGATTAAGGGTTGGAACATTTGTGGTAAAGTATGTTACCAGTTGTTCATGATCTCTGTGCCTGTGTGGAGCCTGTTGCCAGGAAGATTCTACAGCTAAGTGTCATTTTGGGTGGGAGCTCCTTCCTTTCTTGCTCCCTGCATCAGTGGGAGGGACTTTCACCCATTCCCCAAATCCTTTTTCAACTGCCTCCATGCCTAGATAATGAAGTGCTTCTCTCCTCAACTTGAGTATTTTTTCAACATTTATTACTTGTTTCTCTTTACCACTTTCTACTCTTTAGCTCCCTATTCAGCTACCATCCCTCCGTGAACTAAATAGACAAGAATGTTCACTTTTTAAGCAACTAGAAGAGAGAGTTGGTTTTCCTGTAGTTCCATGTATATTATCAAGGTAAGACAGTGACTTGACAGTAGCAATCATGTTTCATCCAGGTAATGTGATGTAACATGATTGCAGAAATGCCTTGGTAGGGTATTTGGATGACTGGATATATTTTTTCCCTCTTGAATGCTGCCAAACTAAATTACAATGGAACTTGATCCAAATGCTCATATCTGTTCACTCTTCATTATTTGTTGTCTGGACAACAGGTTACTGATGAGTTTTCCTAGGTTATATTTCAGATTTCTGGTATAGGCAAAGTAGATGCAATTTTTGAAATACTTGTGTTTGACTTTTGCTAGTTTCCTTATATAATTTTTATCATAATAAAATGACAACACACTCAAAAGGCTGCTGTGTAACAATATTTAAAGACCCTGTGCACATAACTTTTCCTATTAAACAGTTCTTGTTTTCTGTAAAATAACATGGCAAATGTGGAATGTAGCTGAACTTCTACTGTTACATGCTGTCAAATTATCTCTCTTAATGGTGACCCGATGAATGAGTAACCTCCAAATTGCCCTGTCCTTGAAACCTTGAAAGCCATACTCAGCTCTTGTAAGCTCTTACTCAGCTATGGTATCCTTCATGGAATTGGTACATTTCATAGTTGATCTTCCTTTCTTCTTCTGACTTCAACTTTACCTGTTATTTGTGTCTTCTCCTGTAGATCATGCCTTCTTATAAAGATCCTGAAGAACAACAGCTTCAATTTCATCATTTTTGCATCCAGGGAAAGTTCTGACTTGATTTGATCAAGCCACTTGTTTATCTTGCTTTCAATTTTGGGTATTCACAAAAGCTTTTCTTCCAGCACCATGTTTCAAAGGCATCAGTTTTCTTCCTGTCAGCTTTCTTCACTGTCCATCTTTTACATCCATACATTGTGAGTTTGGATGATCTTGATCTTGGTCTCTAGTTTAAAAAAAAACCCTTACACTTGATGATCTTTTCTTATAAGTGGAGCACTTACAAGTCTGCCTTCTTATTTTTTGGCTCCAGTTTCCTTTTGAATTGATGATTGAGGCAAGTTAATGCAAAATCTTTTGACAATTTCAAGTTTCTTCATTTATGATATTTAAGTTCTGTAATTCTTCTATAGTTAAGATTTATGTTTCAGCTGCAGTCCTGCTTCTGCACTTATTTCACTTTCATCAAGAGTCATTTCAATTCAGTGTTGCTTCCTGTCAGTGATATGGCATCTGTATATCTTAAATTAGTGATGTTTCTTCTGCCTATTTTCTTTTTTTTTTAATTCTAATCCAGCTTTCCTGTTTGTATATGGATTGAAAAGATGAGGAGATATAAGCAATGGCATCAAAAAGGGGGTATTTTAAGACACAATTAAATCTCTCCATAATCTGTCCTAACAGCAGCATCTTCCACAATCATATCCACCATCATATCCACAATATGAGCATCAAGTCAATCAAATGCTGAGGTGCTCCCATTTCTTTCAGGACCATCCATTGCTTCTCATGATCCACATGATCCACTGAAATGGATCTTCAGTCTATAAAGAAAGCAAAGGTTAATCTTCTGACATTCTTTGGTATGTTCCAGTAGCCACTGTATATTTGAGATACGATCTCAAGTGCCTTTTTTTTAGAATTCAGCTTGAACATATATTTTGCTTCATATAGAGTAAAACACTTTAAGCATCACTTTGCTTGCAAGGAACATTAGTGCAATGGTCCTCTGGTTGCTGCACTCCTTAGCATTTCCTTTCTTGGGCATTGGAATGTACATTGAATGTTTCCAGCCGATGGACCATTATTATCTTCATCAGTTTCTGCAGCCTGGACTAGTACTGTTGGTACCCTACTATGGGTACTTTATTCCTCACAAGTGCTTTCAGAGCAGCTTTCACTTCACTTTTTGATTTTACAAGTTCTTTCTCAGGAGTCCTCTTTGAAGGAGTCTGTCACGCTTTTATCTGCTCTGTATAGCCTTGTACATTGAAACTATCTTGCATTTATTTTCTTCTGGTCAGACAGTATGTCCACTTGTTGGTCTTTCAGCATTCCTAATCTAAGTTTGAATTTCTCTTTGAATTCTTGGATCTTTTTGAAGTGGTCTCTTTTTTTCTTCTTTTTTCTACTATTTCTTTGCAGTGGCCATTATAATAGTTCTTTTTGTGATAGTCACTGGAAAGTTTTATTCAAGATTCTCACCGTGTTTCTGACACCCTTTACTTTTGTTACCTGCCTAGCCTTAGCAGTTGTGGCAATTTCTTCCATTATCCATCTAGTCTTGTCTTTTCTTTTTACTACAGGAATTATCTTTCGGCATTCTTCTAATAACCCCTCTGCTTTCATTCCACAGTTGAAAACTGTACAGTGAAATAGCCCAAAATGAAACTAGAAATAGTGCCAGAAGATGAGACTTCCAGATTGAAAGTCACTGAACCAGCTATTAGGCAAGAGCAAGGGACTAGTAAGAATAGTGTTGATCTAGTGATTGATAGGCACAGAGTTGAAAGAGAAATGAAGGAATGGTGCACAATACATGTAATTGGTGCATGATATGAAGCAAGGCAAACGAGAAACCATAAAGCAAAAGATGGAAAGAATGAGCATCACAGTACTTGGTTTGATTGAGCTAAATAAGACTAGAAAGGGACATTTTCACTCAGGAAAATACATTCTGTTTTATTTTGTTTTATTCTGAAACTGAAAATCAGAAGAAAAGAAAATAGAGTGTTTCTAATACTGAGGCAAAATGTAGCAAAGACTGTAAGGGGTTGTCATGTGATGTCAGACTGAATAATTTCAATCGGGCTTCTTGGAAAACCTGTCAACGTAACCATCATGCAAATCTGTGCTCCAACAACAGATGCTGGAGAAGAAGAATGTGAAGGTTTTTATACAAATGTACAGGAGGAAATTGATAATGTATGAAAATAAGACATACTGATAATTATAGATGACTGGAACACAAAAGTAAGAAATCAAACAAAATTGTTGTTAGAAAATTTGGTCCAGGGAGCAGAATTGAAGCAGGAGAACAGCTAATAAAATTCTGTGAAGCCAGTCATCAGTATATTACTAATACTTCCTGCAACCAAAAAAATGTCTATATACATGGTCACCAGATGGCTGAAATAGAAATCAAATAGATTACATAATTGAAAGTAGGAGGTGGAGAAGCCATATTCTTGCAGCCAAGACCAGGAGCAGATTGTGGTAGTCACCATAAACAATATCAAAAATTAGACTAAAACACAGAAGAGTGAAGTAGAGGAACCAGCACCTTTCCTAGCCCCAGTCTGACTGAGCAATACACTGAACATCTGGGGTCGTCTTCCAAATGTCCAAGGGAAACTTGAAGGATGGCAGCAAGGTAGAGGTCTTACTTTGTTGTGCCCCCCCCCCCAATATATGAAATGACCTCTGCACTGATGCTGACCTGAGGCCGACCTTATCTTTTTTTTTTTTTACATTGATATAAGATAATCCTTTATACCGAAGCTTTAAAAGATAGACTTCCATATCCATATGTTTCAGAGAATTACACATCCCAGGTGGCTATTTCTCATTGTATATTTTTCATCTGTTCTTAACTTTTCATTTTAGAAGTAGGTATTTTTGATAAGATGGCATTTCATTGCATTACTTTTATGTACTGTTGTAAGAGAGCTACAGCTGTTTGACAATATCAGATGAAATAAATAATAACATTAACTGTGGACTGAAAGCAGAGATAGTATTAGGGAAGACTGTAAGAAGGTAACACAGAAGCATAGTAGCCATTTAAACTAAGGATGAGTGGCTTTGCCCTTCTCTCAGTTTCTACTAAATATGCTAAAAGGGGGAGAAAGAGATGATGTAATATTTGCAGCGATAAATAACAAGAAAATTCATGCTTTGAGAAATGAGTACACACAAGAAGTTATTTATGAGCCATCTGCTGTTCTCTCATGTGGAATGGCAAAAAGCCTTTTTTCCCTATCGTCCTTTGACAATTTTGTGTAGTTTCTTAAAATACTTACAAATGATACTTGGAAATAATGTGTCTTTTTGTTGTTGCGGTATTTTGAGGTTGTGTTGATATCAAATAGAAACGATGGGCTCTCTTGGATTGGATTACTCTTGTATAATAAAGGAACTAGATGTGAAAGAAAAATTTACAGCGTCACTGATAAAACAGTTACATAATCCAGCAGATGAATTCTTCTTTAATGTTGCTGTATCTTCATATAAAATCATGCTTCTAGGTGTCTGAGACATTTTTAAAGTAGTTTGTTAAAGTTCCATTGTCTTCAGTATGTATTTGGAATGTGTTTGGATTCCAGTGTTTAATTTTATTGTATGACCATTTTATTTTGTACTGGATGTTTTACAAAATACAACCCATTTTTCATTTAGCTGAGTATATGTTGCAATGTTTGGAAATCTGTATTGGTTCTTTCATCATTCTATAGTTAGGAAGAATCCATTCCATTTTGCCCTTTATTAATTCTCCTCTCCCCAGTATCCAAAAACCCATGTATTACTTACATGTTTCCGAGGTGATTTTTTTTGTACAAATAATCCTTTGTAGGGTCTCAAACCAAAGATTATTTTTTATAAACTCAAATAACTATCAGTAGTTTTAAAGATAAGCTCTGAATACGCTGTTGAATTCCCATGCATCTATGTCTATTTCAGATGTGTTAAATTGAACCATGAAATAGCATACCATGTTTCAGTTAAAAATTATTGAAGCACCTTGCTGGTAGTGTGATGAAGTGATGCAACTGAGTTAAACAAGCTACCATCTCCCAATTTTCCTCTCACTGCAAGTCACTTCTGCAAATCCCAAGCATGCTTGGAGGTTCTCTGATTTTCTCCCTTGCACAAGTTTCCTTATGTTCACATGGTATTGAATGACAGTCGTTATGTGAAAAAGCCCATTGAGTGGCTTTATGTTATGTTTCTGTAATTACATAATGGTAAGTTGCTGAGTGTTGGGTGTCAAACAAAAATATTGTTTCTTAAAAAGATGAAAAATTACTGTGATGTTTGAAATAAAATGGAGTTCCAACTGAAACATTCCTTTTGGCACTATTTGATTAACGTATATTCTGGATTGCCACAGGGAGCACAAATCTAGGCGTCTGGTTTATATATATGTGATTGAATGTACGAGTTCTGCTTTGCTTTTATATAAGGAATAATTACTTGCTAAGTATAAATATTTTCAAAAAAGAGGGCTACTTATGGTGCTTTTTCAAACCTGGAAATATGTATAATATTGCATTGTCAGTATTGTGAATCCAGTGCTTCTCTTCTGGGTCAATTCAGACATTACGCTGAACCCAGTTTTTCAGGCTGTGGTTTCTCGCTCTTTTTGTTTTCTAACTGCCAATTATAGCTCTGATCATCGTAAGTCAGTGATATGTGAAATTTGTAGGCTAACTAGGAGCTTCGGCAGATGGCAGTCTTACAGTCTTAACTACCAGTTCCATTTCAGATGGTGCACACAAATAAATTCATGAAGCTGCAAAAAGATCTTCAGATATTTACAGGGGCTCAAGTTCCAGAATTGAAAAATGTTGAAATCATCACAAAATGATTTTTAGCATTTCAATGTGTTAATTTTTTGTGCTTTAATTTTATGCTTCTGTTTTTTTTTAATGGAATTGCTACAAAATACTATGACTGTTTCTTATCACCTTACATTGAATTTGTTAATACACAGTAAATCATAATTTGTTTTCAATTTAAAATCAAATTGTACATTTCATTGTACATGTGCAAAATGATTACCGAGCATAAAAGTTGCTTTGTTAGACATTATACAGTGAATGTTGCAGCATTTTAATGATATCTGTTGTGTTGGGATTAAACCAAGTAAATTTCATAGGGATTTTATTAGAATTAGTGTTCTACTACCAGAATATCTTCCAGCTTGGGTTTATAACCTGTGAATGCTATAAATTGTAAAAAAGTGTTCCTTTAACACTTGCACTAAGCCAGCCTTGCCAAACCTGATGCTCTCTGCAGTTCTCATCTTCCCCTATCTAGCAAAGTTAAGGTTTTCATGGGTATGTGATCTGGAAGATTCTTATGTTAGCATTCTTCTGGTGTTTTCTCCCAGTGGTTTGACCATTCTTGCTATGTATAGTGAAGAATTGCTATACTGAATAGTTGCCATGATAAACCACTAGGGATCAGTTATTGTTGAATTGACATACTGGGGCTTAATCTGTCAAAATCAAGATTAGACTGCGCTCAATGGCAGTTATTATGGCAAAGCCATTCAACAGAATTGATCACAGTAATACATGAATTGCCCACTGGCCCATTTTATTATTGTGATTGTTTGAAAATCCGTGACATGTTTATTGACTATGTTACATATAAAATTATTTGCATCTGATTGAACTTGGAATCTCTTTTAATAGTATTTGAATCAGAAGTCTCGTCAGACTCATATTACTGCTCTCACTTGGATGAATGGCAGTTATTGCAGTCAGGTAATGTAGGAAAGGTCTTCATGGCTCTTTGGGCAGCCTCTTCCACTTCGGATTCTTATTCTTCCTGACTGGCTGTCTAATTAGGCTGATAATATCTCTTGAGTTCCTGGTACTCTGGAGGAGGTTGTACTGTGGCACATGACAAAGCCCTCCTTGAACCTTTCACTTGCAGAAGATAAGTCACTCTTGAATTTACTGGTTGGGGCAGGATGATAGAGTGGTTGATTATGGGCCAGATGCAGGCTCTCTAGAATAAATACTGATTTTCTGGATTCTTTTCAATCTAACCTGGTTTTGGAACAGATTTTTGCTAGTTGTCCTTCTAGGGAAGAAAATACAAGGGCTATTCTGTCCTTCATTGATTCTCCTGGACTTTTCAGTGGTGTGCGGTAATGTATGTTTGGAAGTAGGTTATGTAGTGCTTCTCCTTCTGGGTAATGATCAAACTTAAAAAGTTTGCTTTGAGAATCCATCTTTAATCTGTGGGGTGCTAATATTTTATTTTATCATTGACACAAAGAGTAGAAGAGGACAATTTCATCAGTGTGTTAATGACTCCTAATTTCATGTTTTCTTTTCCTAAAATTTCAGTGAGGCAGTGAAATTAATATATCATTGTTTATCATATCAGACTCAGCTTATTTAAGAAGCAAGGACAAGTGGTAGCATCTTATCTTGTAGGAACTGATGAGTTTCTTAATATGGTTGGGCAGGGTATGTGGTTGCACACTGCCCAAGAAGCGGCAGACCCACTGCTTTAAGAATACTGTTGGACCTTGATTACTGTATTTGTTATATTTATATGTCACTCTACAACAAAAGCAAAGCCAATCACCCAGTGGCTGCAGTGTATAACTGGCTGTTATTGCCCTGTATTGTTTTTTTCTTTTGAATGTGCCCTCATCTTTATCATCAGATCTTGGTCATGCGTATGCCATATTAGTGTCCAGATTGGATTATTGAAATAAATTTTACAGGGAGTTGACTTTGAAGACTGGAAATGATAATTGCTTCTGTAACAGTTACAGTGGCTGCACTCACACGATACACAATCTTGTTACCATGTTTTGCAGTTCTTTACCATGATCTACCTGACAGATTATCAAGTAGTTTTCACAGTATTGTGGTTCTTCATCATGGTTTCTGTGCGTCACACATATGTGCCTGCATGGTGCCACGCTCAGGAAGATTAACTAAGCCTAGATTTTTTACCGAGAGCCCCGCCCCTTCCCTGTTATATAAATAGGTGGGCTCTTGCCATTTTCTCAGTTCTCTTTTGACTGATGTTTTCAGTGCATCAGATTTTCTAGCATTCAATTCCTGAGCCTTCCCTCATGGCTTTCAATTTACCTCAATTTTCTCTCTCTTGCTGTCTATTGCTTACCACTTGTATTTTGTTTTCTCAATCTCCCTACATTCCCTGTACAGTGGTACCTTGGCTCACGAACTTAATCCATTCCAGGACTCTGGTCGTGACCCAAATTGGTCGTGAGCCAAG